TCCGTTTCTGCAACTGGACGAACCGGGGTTCCACTTTATTACTCCACCGGAACCATCCAGGTACCTACAGTAAACATAGCATTCCAATTAAAGCTTATAACACTTTTTCAGATGGCGCGCGAGAATGGGCTTTATGGCATCGTCGCCGACGGGTCTCACTGTTTGCAGCCGAAGTGCTTGGGGCGCTATGCGCAGCTGTACTGCGTGCATGGTGTCTGCAACCAAGACCTTGACGTACCACTGATGTTCTGCATAATGGAAAAGAAAACTCGTCGCGGGTACAAGAAAGTCTTCGAGCACCTGAAAAGGAATCTGCTAGGCGACACACCTAGGCGCATAGTGCTCGATTTCGAAAAAGCTGCCATCCATGCGGCCAAAGGGTATTCCCAAATGCGACTGTTGAAGGATGTGCCTTCCACCTGGCGCAAGCGTGGAACCGCAAAAGAAACCATTTGGGGCTCCAGAGATACCTGAAAGGCGCAGAAAAGGATGAAGCGCGTGGTCAACTGGTGGGAAATGCTAAAAGGTATCGTGAATTCTTTGTCTGTTGTGCGCTAATTAACATTACATCTCTGCAGGAATGATTTTCCTCCCGCAGGATCTGTGGCCTGAAGTACGGGCACTACGCGGTCCTCCAGTGCCGAGTGGCGATTTGCATGACAGATGCCAAGAATTCCTTCAACTATTTGGAAACCACCTGGCTGAGCGGGCCATTCAAAGACTTGTGGTGCAAATGGAGAGTTGAGGAGCTGAGGACGACTAATCTGGCCGAAGCATTTCACAGGTTTATACCTTCCACGTCATCAGAGATGCTTAATAATCGACATTTTTCAGAAGAATACAGGTCTTGGCATCGGCTGACCACCCAGCGTTGAGCATTCTGATCGATGTTTTGAGAAAGCTCAACTATGAAGCCATAGCCGCCCTCACACGTCTTAAGGAAGTAAGCGTTGCAGATATTAGATATGGTTCTCATTGCTCCCCCATTTATAATCTTAACCGTAATTCAGGAACCAGAGGACGCTAAGACAGTGCGAGAGGTGTACATGGCGAGGAAAGAGAAAATATCTGAGGAAATGGCAAAGTAGGACACCTTTCAGATCCCTTTCTTCATTGCACCTCTCAAAGACACTGTACTTATTTTCAGATTCAACGAACTTTATTCTAGTGCCCAAATAGAGTGCTACTGCATAAAAATGTCTCAATTCGTCACAAACAAAACTGTATAATACATTTGTTAATTATTGATAATAATTTGTACACTTGTTCTTGTTTAAGTAATAATAATAATAATAATAATAATAATAATAATAATAATAATAATAATAATAATAATAATAATAATAATAATAATAATAATAATAATAATAATAATAATAATAAATATATGAAATATATGGCAATCTTTTTACCCACTTTACCGAAATCTTGCAATGGATTTATTCCGATTTGGATAGCTTAATAGCTTTTGCCTTGAGTGAGGTCAGCTGGCATGAGCACCGACGTGCCATCGCTAATGGAGGTCGCTTCGACACACTACGCTAAAGTGAGGTTAGTTCGGACGCTCGCTAATTATGCCCTCGAATGCCCAGGTGCGAGAATGTCGTGTAACGAGGTGTCGTTCGTATCGCATTTTTAATCCTACCCGTAAGTCAAGAGTAAGGTCAGTTGTCATCTCTGGTACATCCGAATCTACTGATCCTAGTTGCACTGTTCGGGTTTCTAATGATTTCGAGTGCATCAAGAAAGTCTTCCATTTTTTATTGATTGAGTGTCCGTTCCCCGTGGTTTATAGAAGGGTAGGCCGAATTCTAGTTATCCAAGGCTTTTGAAAGTTTTCCTCCCTAATGTATTCTTCCGAAACCAATTGTTTCTAGGGCATCTATTTTAGAGCATTTCCCAGTTTCTGGTATTTATATTAGGCCATCTTTAATATCTTGGAGCTGAGCGTGATTGCTCTCACCCAGAGCTCTTGGAAATGCAACTGTGAATTCTCGAGTTCAGTCTGTCCCACATCCTGCAGTCAATCATTCTGAATAAGCTGTTGGTTTGAACGCTTGTTCGCAGATACTTGTATATCTACTGCGATATTTCTCCCATTATGTTTTTTATATTTTGTCTGAATTGGTTCTTTTGTTGGATTTACTAGACTTGCTCTTTATTATGCTGTTTTGGATACCACATGTGCTTGCGCATGTAAAATTGAAATTGAAAATTGAAAAATACAGTGAAAATTAGGGAGAAAATGGCTAAATAGGCTGGAAACAGCTGATCGCCGCGGTCGTGACGCGCCGCAGCCGCGTCTGCGACCCTTTGACCGCCTAATCAACTGCCCGGATGGCGGCTGTAGGCGCAGAGTGAGCGCGCTCCAGCGACGAAATAGTAGATCTGCTCCAAACCCAGACTAACCAAATCTCCCCCCCCCCTAGACTAGTAAATCAACAACAGCCTTGTACTGAGGATTACAACACTGACTTTTAAACGGCTGGCCACCGCAAATCGTTGCTTTGGTCGAATCACATTCAACGTCCCACCTCCAATCCGAATGGAAGTATAGATGATGGTGCGTTACAAAAGGGATCAGCCTTTGACAACTCTGCGAATCGAAGATCTTGCAAGTTTTATGAATAAAATTCTGTTTGACATCCTGCCTCTACGCATATATCACGGATTGATCAACGACGGATGATCTCCCTTACCTGCAGGATTCTGCAGGAAAAAAGGAAAACTCAGCAGGAAAAAAAACGTCGCACTATAGCCAATGAAGAATTGTATGAAGAATGAAAAACCACTGTCTTCCCCCCCCCCCCTCTATGGTCTCCTTCGCTGCGGATGAAAGGGTGTGTCAGTGAGGGTGGGCTTGGCGCGTTACCAGCCCGTTCTCCACCACCCGTTGATGCGGCTAAGCAACAGCAAATGTTGAAATAGGACTGGCAAGAACAATTCGATACACTCTTGTCGCTTGTCGAAAGGACAAAAGAAAAGCGGACTGACGCCCATCCCTCCTCCCTCCCCCCCCCCCCCATCCCTTGGCATCACCAACAGTAATCAAGGCTGTAAAGTTTCCCATCAGGGCCTATACCAGCTCTGTTTTGGTCCAAAAGAAATTATCTGGCACAATCTATCATAGCAACCCACCACGGGGCTTTTCCATCAATTTTGATTAATATTATAGCTAATAATTCGCACCTCTACACAGCGAGTTTGTCTCAATCACCCATTGTTGATGGCGTGAAATGGCGTACGAGTCTATCACTGTTTCTGTGGTGGCGTTCCACGACTTTGCGATGGGCGGGGCGGTCCATGGATCACCATGAATACGGCGCCGTCTTGAAAAGGTGGTAATCTCTATTATTCAATAACAACTAGATGGAGCCAAAACAACACTTCACCTGGCTCCACCATATTCCCGTTGCAAAAAGTTCCTGGCATCGAATCCGCCGGGCATAGGGAGAACTGAAAAGGAATAGAACTAAAAATGCAAGTTAATACAGCATTCACCCAATCATGCAGTTTGCCGATACTTCGCCGTCCTTTACGCCTATCACAATCAGTGATTTCTATTGCCAAAGCGACAGATGAGGCCGAAAGTCGCCATCCCAACCACACCCCTTGGTCCACTTATGGTTAGAGGTGAACGGCATTTTTGTCGCACTAGTGAGGAACTATCGGGTTAGCGTTTAAGGAATGCCGTTAATAAACTAAGTTATAATAGGACCGGAGTTCCTCTCGGAGCTGGAGGTGGTACTGTGGCCAGTGGCATGCTTATCACGTGCACGGTTCCGGGACCAAAATCTGGATCGGCTCCTCCCTAAGCCACCAAGCCTTCCATCCTGCGGGGACGGTGAAATGAAAAAAATGTTCGTCAGGAAGAATAAGAATACTGACTTGTACATCGGTTGGCCCTCGCGACTCATTCTAGAGGCCACATCGCATTCAAAGCCACCGCGATTCTGAATGGAAGTAGAATGCAGGGCGCATCCAAAAGAGTGACTGATCAACCGCTGAGACTTTATCCTTTGGATCCTTAACGGAATTTCTTTCTATTCTAAAGCAGTTATACCCCTCACAAGAGAGGTTATTGGGCTTTTATAGGTGCTGAATTTCTGCAAGTCTATAGGTTTGAAAGTGGGGTGCTCATAGTCAGTCGACAGGAATGAGAATCTCTGACGCCACCCTTCTTGCGATTGATCGAGGTGCTGAAGCTAGAGAAGCTGCTCGAAGGGAGTGAATCGCAAACTCGATGAACGAACTCCTGCTTGTAGGGTTCTGCCCGATTCATGCACTCAAAAAAAAGATTTGATCTGTGCAACATGCAGTGGAGCGGAGAACATGTTGAGCTAGATGGCGTGGGACTGCATGTGCAACTCAAGCCCCAACTTTTTCAACTTGGTGCTCAGTGGTGGCCCGTGACCAAGCATGCTGCAACCCGCTTCGAAGTGGTGGAGATGAAACTGTTGCGTTGGACGATGGGCATGGCGCGATAAGACAGCATCCGCCATGTCGTAAGCAAGAATTATCACACTGCTGATGGCCAGGTTATGTACTTCGTGCAAAGGCTGAGGGTTCGTGAGACTGGTCCCAGCTCAAAGTGCCGGAAAAGCGGTTCAAGACAGCGCTTGCTCGGCAAACTGTATATGGACTGACCGCGTTCAATCGGGAGAAGAGCCGGTATAAGGACAACGCACTCCGCCACATAACAGGAATGGATGCTATGGAAGAAGCAGTGGGGAACAACCATCATATCGGTGAAGCATTGGGTCTGTCGTCTCGTTAGTCTATTTGTTCTCTCATGCTCTGGTCTCTCACCCGCGTTCGCAGTGCCTCTTCTTCTACCGTTTCGCTTTCAATGCAGAGCATTGACCGCAAAAAAAAGCCATTTGCAAATCATTCTCGAAAGTTTGGTCTGTTTTTTTCCACTGGTAATTCAGCTTACATATATGAATTGTTGTTGACCCAACGACGCATCGAGATGTACTTTCAAATTATGGGTTTGTTATGTGCATATTCTCGCATCTATCGCTGCGCTATTTCAGTTATTGCCCAGTTCACTAAGGGCTATTTCTCTAAACTTGCCCTCCAGTCCTAGTAAGAAAATCTATTGGCATAGTTACCAATGAATAATCAATGAAGTACACTCACGGTGAGGATGTCCTGCAATCGTGCCCCAGAACGATTCGTCGGCGCAGTAAGTCCCTTTGAGGAAACGGAACTGCTCTTGCACTACCTTAAGTTATGTGGAGTGAGCTGACGCTACTTCAGGATCTTTGCATTGAAAGTTAGCACCACCTCGCTCTTACTCATGAAGTTGGCAGCTTCCCTAGAAAACGTGGCCGCTAGAGAGCTTTTGATGAGAGGAAGCGGAGAGTGTCTCATCTGCAATGAAGCACCGGTTAACAACGATGTTATCCAGAAACTAACCTCGGTTTTGAGTGTCATTTTGTACTTTTTCGCATTTTTGAGAATCACCTAATCGAATTCTTCCCGACTAATACTTTGACAATATTTTACCCATATACAGCAGAACGGTAATCAGGTTGCAGCCAAGGGGAAACTGCAAACGAACCCGTTTACGACCGAGACGATACCATTCAAACGGTGCTATTTGAGTATTGAACGAGCCATTCAGAGCTTTGAGAATACGCATCATCTCGAAGTTCGTCTTCAGTGGTGCATCGACCCCGGAAAGAATCTGAAAGAATGATTCGTTGCTTTATAATTACAGTGCAGTAGTCCGAGGTGCAGTCTCCCGAGGTGCTTTCCGGACTGGGCTCACAATCTCAGCTGGCGTTTCAGAACTCCGAATGCCTACCTATCAAGATGCTCGAAGGCAAATCTTGCGAACAGGGGATCCATAACAGGATTACACTTTGTAGCAAAAGGGTAGCGGAGGTCGTGCCCGAGTTAGGCAAAATTTTACTTATTGCTCAAGGCAAAAATTCACTTATTGCTCAGTTTTCCCGTCCCTTTACCAGTTACATGGTAGTTGGGCGAAAGGTGTACACCAGCCCTCCCACCCTATACCCGTTCGAGAAAGTTTAGCACAATGACTGGTCCATTGTCTAATGGGGGTCTTGATTAGCAAAAAAGTTCTCAAACGCCGCGACGTGTTCGCGAATATCTCATAGCCACTGAAGAGTGGTCTAAGTTCTCTAGGAGGCAGCCAGAACATCCTTTTTTCTGCAGTAAGCGTAAGAGTAAGTTCAAGCGCAACGTTATTCGGACTCGCATACTGACAGTTCTGCCTTCTTGACTGTTCGGTCTTCCATTAAGCCAGCAGTTATGGTTGAGGGAACAGCGTTGAGCTCTCACTGCATTTCGTTTCCCGGTTTCTCTTC